CCCACACCTAGTAAGCAGAGAACAGCCTCTGCCTGTTCAGGTCAGAGGTCTCCTCTGGCTCTCTGGGTGATGGTTAATAGGTAATGTGTCATCAAGGACTAAGATCCAGGGCTCCATGATCCAACATACCACTTACTAGTAAGGATCTGGGTAAGAAATTTGACTGAGCTTACGTTTTTCCTTCTGTCACTGCTCTGTACCAAGCTCTGCTCTAGGTGCTGGGGAATATTTTAGTAAATAAGGAACAAAAATCCTCTACCTCATGGAGTTTACATTCTAGTATGGGGGAGATAGACAACCAAATTATATTAAATAGATACTAAATGGTGATACATGTTTTAGAGGAAAAAGGGGCTGAGGCGTTTGTGGGGAGCCAGGGAGTGGTTGCCATTTTAAATAGGGTGGTCAGAAAAAGGCATCACTAAAGGAAACGTTTGAACCAAGACCTGAGGAAATAAGGGGATGGTCTAGGCAGGAGTCTGGGGGAAAAGCGTCCTAGAAAGAGGGAACAGCATGTGTAAAAGCCTCCAAATGCGAGGCAGCCTGGAGTGTTTGAGAAATACCAGGAGGCCGGGTGGCTGCAGTGGCATGTGCTAGGGGGCAGTAGTGGGCCATAAAGGCAGGGAGGCAGATTTCACAGGGCCTTGTAGGCCATTGTAAGAACTAAGACTTTTACTTGACTGTGGTGGGAAGCCTTGGAGAGTTTTGGGCCAAGGAGTGACAGCATCTGACTGAAGTTTTAACAGGACCACTCCGGCTTGCACGTCGAGGAGCCAGGGTCAAATCAGGGGACCAGTTGGGAGGTGTTTGCCCTCCTTCTGGCAAGAAATAACAAATGGTGCTAGACTGGAGTGGTAGTTGGGAGGTGGTGAGAAGTGATTGGATTCTGGATATATTCTGAAGGATGTGCTGATCAGACGTGTGTGCAAGAGAAAAAGTGGGAGTGGAGGATGATGCCAGTGTACTTGGCTTAAGTAACCGAAAGGATGAAGTTGCCATTAACTGGGATGGCGAAGGCTGCAGGGGGTGGGGGTTTGGAGGGGAAGACCAGCAATTCACCTGGGGACATGTTAAATTTGAGATGCCTACTAGACATCTAAGGGGAGATGTTGCATAGGCAGTTGGATAAATGAATGAAGTTAAGCAGGGAGGTCTGGACTGGGGATGTATAGATGTTGAAAGCCATGAACCTGAATGAGATACCATAGAAGCGAGAGAAAAACATGTGGTCCAAGAGCTGAGTCGGACTTTCAGATACTGGGGAGATGGGAAAGCAGGAAAGGAATCTGAGAACAGTGTAGTGAACTAGAAGCCAAATTAGACAACTCTTTTTTCCCATAAAAGGGAGCAAAAATTTGGGACGGTAGCCGGAAGAGGCAGAAGTGGGCTTGGGAGAGGTATTTTATTTTTTTAACATGACAAATGGGGATAATACCTGCTTCACAAGGCTGTTGTAGGGATAGAATGAGATGACGTTTGCAGAGTGTTCAGCACAATACCTGATGATAATAAGACCTCAATAACTGGTACTTGATGATATTAATAATTCACCATAATTGCTCTGATGTAAATAAGCACAAAATTAACTGAAGTTCCTAACCCAGCTGGCCAATGAGGTGAAGAGAGGATTGCTGGAGACATCAAGTTTTGAAGGGGAGTCAGCAGGGGCAGGTTTGGGACTCTCCCTTGCCGCTTTCTGTGGGAGTAGTGTGGCCGTCGAACCTCCGTGAAGGGGCCAGGCTGTCTTGCTGCAGTGCCCTTTCTGTTAAGCTTCCTAAATCCCCCTTTTCCTAATTGCAAACAGGGAGGTGTGTTCCTGCTTCATTTTTGTTGCACTAGACTTTTGCCTCCCAAGAGTCAGTTGCTGAAGGGCAGGTCCCTATTCTTGGCAGTAGAAAGAATAACGTGGACACAACTGGGCCATCTTGGAACACACCTCAGCCACACACATCCCTTCCTTCTCGGTTTGATGATTGGTGGGGTCCTGGACAGATTATTGAACACCTACTATGTGCCAGGCACGGTTTTATGTGCCAAAGAAAAGAACAACAAATGAGATACCAAAGTTTCTGCCCTCGTGGAGCTTCTATTCTAGTGTTTTATGTTGAATAGTGCTAAAGGCTAGAGAGAAATAATAAAGTGCAGAACGGTTATCTGGAACGTCAGGGTAGGGGCGAGGTTACTTTTGAGTAAAGACCTTGTCACACACGGTTCACTTCATGGCTGAACTTTGAAGTGTTGCCCCAGTTCTTGGGCTCCAGGCTTGGAAGAATCACAAGCCTTGGCCTGTGTGACAGAGAGAGATGACAGACACTCAGCAAGTATGTGTGAAGAATTTATTGTACGGGAAGTTTAAGGGTACAAAGCAAAGTACGTTTCCTAAGGGATAATGGATCTGTCTCCGGGAGTGGAGAAGACCCTGGCTACTTCTGTGTTTTTCTTTTTATATGCTTTATGTTTAGGTAAAGGTTAGTTGTAATTATTCATAACTATACGTCACTGTTTTGGGGACTGAATTCTTTCCAGGTATGGACTTGACTTAAAGGTTATGTTCCAGTCATTTCTTCTGGTGTATGTATGATGGGGAAAGTTCCATAACCGTTCTCTGGCTGGTGGTCAGTGTTCCATGGCCTAATTGCCCCATTTTTTTTTTTTTTTTGAGACAGAGTCTCACTTTGTTGCCCGGGCTAGAGTGCCGTGGCGTCAGCCTAGCTCACAGCAACCTCAAACTCCTGGGCTCAAGCAATCCTACTGCCTCAGCCTCCCGAGTAGCTGGGACTACAGGCATACGCCACCATGCCCGGCTAATTTTTTCTATATATTTTTAGCTGTCCAATTAATTTCTTTCTATTTTTGGTAGAGACGGGGTCTCGCTCTTGCTCAGGCTGGTCTCGAACTCCTGAGCTCAAACAATCCGCCCGCCTCGGCCTCCCAGAGTGCTAGGATTACAGGCGTGAGCCACCATGCCCGGCCTGCCCCATTCTTTAAGACTGAAATAACCATGTTCTTTTTATTTTTCTGCAACATTTCCTCCTCATTGTTTTTCTGTAACAGCTTTCTCCTTTCCATTTTTCTGGTTTCCATTACCTCTCACTTGTTTTTCTGTCCCTAACAACATGAAGCGAGGTTGCTGACAGTGGTAATATTTTGGGAAAGAACATTCCAAGCAGAGGGCATAGTGTACGTGTGGCGTGGCATGTTTGAGCAGCAGCAGAGGCGCTGGCATGGCTGCAGTGGAATGTAGCAGGGCCCAAGCAGGGAGGTGAGGTCAGAGAGACATGTGAGAGACTTGCGGATCACAGTAAGTGGTCTGAGTGAAATTCACCCACCAGGGGGTCTTACAAAGGCCACTGGCCACTGGTTCTTAGGAAATAGCCCCCTTTCAGCCCCTTCAGATGTCTCAGTTGTAAGGAAGGGGGGACTCTGCCTGAGATTTGTGAATCACAGCTTCTTTGTGTTAACTGAAGCCCTCAGTGGACCATCTCAGGGAAAGTTGCAGAGAGGGACAAGGAAAGGGCCCCAGGGCCAGCACTTGGGAAGCTTCAAGTAGTAGACTGGCTCTCTAAGCCCAAGGTTTCAGACTCTAGGACCAACTGAGTGATCTAGACCAGGGAAGGGAGAACCTTCCCTCCCTCCCAGGTATGCAGTGCCTGAGAGCCTGCCCAGGGCCGGGCTTCCACTGCCTCCTGCCACCCCGTCCTCTGCCCTTCCTCCGCTGAGCCCTGGACTCTGTGTTCCACGGGCCCCCCTCACAGCCACAGCAGCAGTGGGGCCTTCTGTGGGGGTGGGGATGCTGTAACTCAGGATTTGCCAAAGCACCGAGGGTGAGGCCACCTTGGTGGCTCTCAGTGCTACCCTACTTTGTCCTTCCTGTCTGTCCCTGGATTGGGGTAAGGAGGCTGAGATGTCACTCGCGGTAAGTGTGTGTTGGGGGGAGGAAGGAGGAAGAGGAGCAGGAGGAAGGTGCAGGCCCTCCAGCATAGGTAGGGACTTAGAGCCACATTAGTGGTGAGGTGTGGGAGGGCCTAGGTTTCAGCACAAGCTTGGACCTGAGGCTGGAGTCCTGGGCCTCCAGGAGGGGCCAGGGCAGAGGGCTTCATCTGGGGGCAAAAACATGCCCAAATCAATAATGGAGCAAAGAAATTGGTCACTCCCTGAATTTCAAAAGCTACTCACTAGCCTACAGAGTGATGGGCCAGGAGCCCCCAGGGTCTACAGATCAGATTGGAGCCAGTGTCCCCTCGACTTATTATCCAGGTCCCTGTTCTGCTCACAGGCTTGGAAACCCCTGGAAGGCAATAGCCAGGTCTTCCAATCTTTCACTCCAGCTCTTGGCCCAGGTCCAGCACACAGTGGGTACTGGAACTCACGAGGACCTTCCAAGTGGCAGGCCCTGGCAAGACACTAGGTGTGCTCTACTGGGATAAACAAGACACAGTTGAGTTCCAGCCACAGCTGTACAAAGGCTTGGAAAGGATTCACCCAAAGTAACACAGCAGGTCACCGTCCTGCCTCCACTCTCAAGTTCTTCCCACAGATGTTCGTCAAACACGCCATGCCACCCAAATGCTCACAGTTCATACGCCCAGAGGAAGGTGCCCCCGCCATGCTCCCCCAGAGCCCTGACCATCCTGCCCAAGCCATGCAGGCCGAGCAACTGGTTCCTACACCCAGTCCGCAAGAAACGAAGCCCAACAACTCACATCCTGGTTTGTACCCAAGTTGGGGGCTTTTATTTACAGAAAGGCCCGGGTAGATCGGGGAAGAAAGTGGAGGATGGGGGTGGCAGGGAGAGTTATGCCAGAAAGGGAGGGGGAGATGGATGTTTAAATACTCAGATGGGAGGCAGGAAGGAAGTAGTGGGGCTGGCTTAAGGATAGCTATCAGGGTCGTCACCCATCAGCAGTCGCCCAGTAAGTCCAGAGAGTGAAAATGGGATCAGGAACCAGCAGAGACCTCAGTCCACCTGCCCCAAGGACAAGATGGCCAGTGGAGAGCGGTGCAGGTTAAGGAGACATTGTTTGGTAACAGCTGAGTGGTGCTCCGGGAAGGAAAGCCACCCCATTCCCTCCAGAGCTTCGACTCTCCAGCGACCCTTGCCCTGTCTATCGGCCTCACCTCCTCACTCTAGTGCCCTACCTCCCCTTCCCCCATGTTTTAGAATTCCTTTTCCTCAGGGCTCCTGGGTTCTAGACAGAAGGTCCTGGGAAAGTTGCTTTCCTGGGCTGAGGGACGAGGTGCATGTCCACCCAGAGGGGACCTGGTCCTACCCCACCCAGGATGCCGCTGCTCTCTGTCTGGGCCTGATGCTCATGGCCCTTTGATGGATCCGGGTTCCGTAAGGCGGGCAGAGGCATAGGCTGAGGCTCCGAGGCAGGCTGCAGGCTCACAGAAGCCTGGCAGCCCCACGGGGCCTGGCAGGCCAGGTCGGCCTGCCTCTCCTGGAGCCCCTGGGGACCCTCGGTCTCCATCCTTGCCATTGATTGCCTGGCCAGGCCGGCCAGGGAGACCTGTGAAAGGGAGGAAGTCAAGACATCAGGGGCTCCTCCTGTGTCAGCCCTAGAATTGTTAAGGTGGGGAAAATGAGGCCAAGGACACTACAGGAAGAAGGGACCCCGCCCCAGACACAGAGATTGTCAATTACTCCCAACTCCCAGCCGTGAGTCTTGGGAACAAATGTCCTTTCCTTCCCCTCCATGAAGTGATGGTGGTGCCTTCTGGGAAGTCCGCAGAGTGCAGCTCCCAGTTCCTAGCCAGGACCCACCCAGGAACTCCTGGGTGCTCCAAACGGATGCAGAAGCTGGGTATCAGAGGCCGCCACGGGAGAGACCCAGGTGTCTGTGGGTCACTAATCCCTGAGCTGAGGGAGGGAACTAAAGCTGGGCAGGGCCAAGGTCTTACCTGGGATTCCTGGGGGCCCAGGCATCCCCGGGTGCCCACGTCCCACTTCTCCTTGATCACCCTTCTCTCCACGTTTTCCTGTGGACAAAAAAGGAAATCTTGTTCAGAATTGGAAAATGTTTTTCCCACTTTGCTATTTAATTTCTATTTCACATATAGTTCTTCCTGTTTTGTGCTAGTTTATAAAAGGGGAAAGTTGGAAATGGCCCTGCAGGGCTGATTAAAGAAAGGTCCAGACAAAAGATGGAAGATTATGTAACCAATAGAGTTTATTACAGGAAAGAGTTTAAGTATAACGGTATCTAGCATTTACTACGTACTAAGCAGTGAACTAAGAAGAACTCTATGTAAATTACCTCTAAATATAATCCTTACTACAACATTATGAGGTTGGTACTACTAATATTAATGTCCCCATTTTACAGATGATAAATTTGAGGCCCAGGGAAATTAATAGCTAACTTGTCCAAGGGTCACAATGAGAAAGTGGCAGAGCCTGGATTCACACTCAAGTCCGGTGGCTCTAGAGCCTGCTTGTTTCACTACTCTGCTCATCTGCCTCCCCATCTCTGGAGACATGAAAAGATATTTATGTGGTGCCACTAAGCAAATTATAAAAACAAAACAAGAAACCCAAGTTGTAAAATAGTGCATAGTCTCCATCAATTTGCTACCGGGAAAGAAAGCCTGGGAGTGTTTCCTGGACAGCTTGGTGGAGGGAATGGAGGAAGTGTCTGTATCTCATCATGGGAAGGGGAATTGTGAAAGGGAAAACAGGAGGCTGAGCAGTCAGCCAGCTTAGGCCACTGGGGGGGTCTAGGCCTAATCCCTGTTGCCCAGCCCCCATTTCCACCGCAGAACAGCACTCACCCTTGGGCCCCGTGTTGCCAATCTGACCCACAGCTCCGATGATGCCAGGAATGCCCCGAGGGCCAGGGTGCCCATGGGGTCCCTGCTTGCCTGGGTACCCAGGGGGCCCAGGAGGTCCTGGGGGGCCCACCATCCCTGCAGCACCCAGGGCTTCTCGCTTGGCACTCACAGCTACCTCTGCCAGTTGCTCTGGAGGGAAGGAGGAAGAGAGAGAAGTCTATGAGGTGGGCGTCGGTAACACTAGGGAGAGCAGAGCATCCTGATGGGCCCTGGCCCCTAGGTTTGCAGACAGAAAAGCACTTTATGTTCCCCTGCCCTCAGACCCCGTTTGCAGAAGTCAAAGGTCCAGAGTGACTCATCCAAGGCTCCAAAGCCCCTTGGAGGCAGAGCTGGAATGAGCACCCAGGACTCCAGACTCTAAGAGCAGTTGGTGTGGATGTGGAGAGGCTCCCAAAGGGCAGCGACGCCCTGCAGTGGACTGCGAGGAGTTGCTGTCCCTGCCCTCACCTTGCATCATCTTCAGCACCACATCCACGATGTGCTGGTCGCTGGCATCTCGGCCCTGAAAGCAGAGGTCTTTCAGGAAGAAGCCCCCGGCTGCCTGGGCTGACCACTCCTGCACCCTCTGACTCCTTCCTGTTCCATCTTCTCGCAGAAAGGACGTTTCCTAATCACTCCTGCTGCACTCACACCCCTCCTCTCTCATCTGGGGCTGGGACCACCCTCAGGGAAGCCAGTGGGCTTCTGGGAACTCCCAGCCTTTGAGGGATAAGCCACCCGCTAGGAGACTCTCCTGCCCTGGAGCCCAACTCACCGCCAGGCCCTGTCTCCCAGGCTGTCCCGGCAAGCCTCGGTCTCCGGCCAGTCCTCGAGGGCCAGGAAGCCCAGGGTAGCCCTGCACCCCTGGGGCGCCCGCATCCCCGCTGGGGCCAGGGTAGCCGGGTTCTCCGCGGACTCCTTGCTGCCGGGGAGAGGGGTGGGCGCGGAGCAGAGGTGAGAAGGCGCCTGCACGGACCGGTGGGCGGGGAAGGGGCGGGGCCGGGGAGAGGGCGGGCGAAGGGGCGGGGAGAGGCGGGGCCGGAGGGGAGGCGGTGGTCCCAGGGACCGCAGAGGGGAGGATAGCGGCTTTGGGAGGGGGCACTCACCTGTCCCTTCGGCCCGGGCTCGCCAGATTCGCCCTGCAGGTATAAGGAGCCGTGGTCACTAACTGGTAGGGACCCCGGGCCCTGCCGCTGCTCCCTACCTGCCCCCACGCCGCGTGCTCACCTTCTCGCCTTTCTCTCCAGGGAGGCCGGCCACCCCCGGGTCGCCCTGCAGAGAGAACCACCGGTCAGACGCGCGGCGGCGGCGGGGAAGTGGGAGAAGAGACAGGGCTGGCCAGGAAAGGGAGGCGCTGGGACTTACCACTCCGCCACGGGGCCCGGTCTTCCCTGGGAAGCCCTGGAGAAAGCGGGGAATGAGGGGCTTGGCGAATTCCCCTCTCCAGGGAGGGAAGGGTCCCCGAGGTCCCCCCACCCAGCTCCCGGCCACACCCCTCTCTCCAGCTCCGCCTTGCCCACCAGAGCCTAGGACCCGTCAGTTTGGAGCGCTCTAGAAGGATCTGAGCTCAGCCGACCCCTCTCCCCCTTAGGGCCTCTTTCCCAGGTATTTCCCAGCCCCCCTTTAGCACCTTGTCTCCCTTGATGCCTGGCAAGCCTTGGGGCCCTGGAATTCCGGGGGGGCCCTGCTCCCCCTTGGGGCCCTGAGGAGAAAGGAAACCAGAGGAGTAAATCAAATGCGGCGCTGATATGCTCCCCACCGCCCATCTCAGCTGGCCGGCACTCACCGGTTGTCCTTGAGGGCCTGGCTGCCCCACTGGCCCCCTCTCACCCTGGTCACCCTAAAATGGAAAGAGAAGGTCACATCCAGCCGTCAGCAGGGGCGGCCTCCCCCAGCCAGGCCCCAGAGCCTGTACTGGCAGGGTGCCCTCCATTCCTGCTGTCACCAGCACAGGGTCCTTTGCTCCACCTCACACACCGGCAAACTGAGACCCCGCCTGGAGAGGCCTCGCACAGGCCTGGCAGGACCGGGCAGGTGCTGACCTGCTGCAGGGCCCCAGGGAGGAGCCACTGTGCAGGCACTTACCTTCTGCCCCATGATGCCTGGGGGACCAATTTCTCCTGGAGGCCCTGGCTCTCCCTGGAGGAAGAAAAAATTGGGGGTAAGCAGTAGGTCTGGTGGGACCCTCCCTTCCACACCTGGCTAACCCCTCCCCACCCTTGGGTCTCAGCTAATTCGCTTTATCAGGGAAGTGTCCCCAGACCCACTGTACTTTTCCTTCACAGGACCCAACACAATTTTAGTTACCATGTGATGATTTATTTCATGTCTGTCTCTTCCACTAAATTGTACCCTCCACCTGAGGAGGAGACTGTGCCTATCTCGGCGCCCAGCACAGTTGCAGGTATTTGGTAAATGTTTATGGAATGAATGAATGAAAGAATGCTGTGCCTGCTAGATTCTCAGCCCCAGTCAGTTTGGCCACCTGCGAAGGTCACGCTCCTGGAACTGGTCCCCACCCTCACAGCACTGTACATCGGAAAACAGGCGCCCAAGAGGTCAAAGAGCTTCCCCGAGTCTGTGGGTCAGGGCAGAGCCCAGACCAACGTGGACACTTCCTAGGTTAGGGCTCCACCCACGGCCTCACCCTGGCCCTGAGCCGAGGGGGGCCTCTGGCCGGGGAGAGCCAACACAAGAACCCTTGTGCCAGTGGAGGAGGCACTCACCTCCTTCCCGGGGGGACCAGAGATTCCAGGGAGGCCCTGCCGGCCTGGGTCACCCTGTGGGAAAACATAGTTCTCAGGTCAGTCTGGGTGGCCCAGTCCTGCCTTTGGCCTCAGGGAAGGCCAGCGAGCCCTACACAGAGTATGGACCCAAACAAGTTGGGGAAGAGAGAGGTTCTTGGTTAAGTCCTCTGGGTTCCCCACTGATTTCCTGTTGGTTTCTCCTCTGGATTTAAAGCCATCCTGTCTCCACTGAGCCAGGCTGAGGGGTGTGGAGGGGGCGGCAGGAAGGAGGTGGTCAGGCCCAAGGGGCTTGTGTTCAGGCTGAGCCTCTGAGCCTTGAGGGAGGTCTGGGCCTTGCAGTCTTTAAGCCGTGACCAAGTCCCTGGCCCCCGGCTCCCTTGCTTAATTTAGCCCTCAGTTTGGGGTCACCTCACCTGGTCTCCGGGGCCCCCTTTTGTCCCAGGCTGGCCTGGTACACCCTGCAGAAAAAAGCCGACATCAGTTTCTGCCCTGGCATGGGGGAGCCCCATGCACCTGTTGCTTTGCTTCCCATCCCCAGTCCAGACTCCCCAACCCGCAGAAGAGGAACAACGGAAGGCCCAGCCCCGGCACCATGAGCTTGAGTGTGCTTTCCCACCCTGGTGGGAGCGGAGTAGCAGACAGAATGGCCTGCCTACTAGGGCCGGTGGGTGGTCCATGGGGAAAAGATGAGCACACTTATGTGCCTCCTAGGCACTCAGGCCCATGTGAGTACATGCAGGACACAAGTCTGCTCATGTGCACATAAGCAGGCTTGGCCACTCAGCACCCCCACAGGGAGACAGGTGGGCTTCCATGGACTGGGCTCCAGAAGGTATGGAATGGAGATGGGCCTGCGGGGTGAGAAGGCACAAAGAGACCAGGGAAGGGCACTCCAAGCAGAGGGCCCAGCGAAGGCCTGAAGGTGTGGAGCCAGAAAAGCCACGGTGGTGTTGAGAAGAGAGAGGCAGGGAGGGGCAGGGCTGATGGGGCAGGAGGGGTAGGCTGGGGTCAGATTAGGGTGTCACTGAATGCTAAGATGAGCTGTGAGGACAAGGATTGCATATGTCCTGTTCCTGTTTCACTGCCACTTAGTGTACCGCAGGTGCCCAATAAGTATTTATTGAATGACTTTTTCCTGGAGGCAATGAGTAGGCATGGAAGGCACTTTATTGAGGAAATGGTAAGATTCCATTTAGCCAATATGGAGGATCAGAATGGCCAAAGAGAGGGCTGGAGCAGTTTTCCAAATGATGAGGCCACAGAGGTGGTAATGAGGCAAGAAGTGGTGACTGAGCAAGAGCCCTGGTGTGCGGATCTGACATTGTCAGCTGCTCATGCCATTGTGGGGAGTTAGGCAGCAGAGTGCCTGGCCTCTCTGAGGCCAAGGAGAAGAATCCACGTGCCCTTGGGGCAGCCCCTGTGGCTCTACCTGAGACTTACCGCTAGGCCCTGGTGGCCTGGGCTTCCCGGCCGCCCTGCCTGTCCTGCGCTGCCCTGGGAGAGACAGAGAACCAGAGGCACGTGTTAAAGCTCCAGCCAGAGGGTCCATGGCTTCCACCCAAGTGCAGGTAGGGAAACTGAGGTCCAGAGGCAAGAAAGGACATGTCCATGGCAGCCCTGAGAATCCAGGGCTCCCAGGCCTCTGGGATCAGCATGATGAAACCCAGCAGGGAGGAGCCCTGCCCTGCCACAATCCCACCAGCAGGCCCCACTCCTACCTTCATGCCAGGTGTGCCTGGGGTCCCGTCCTTGCCGTCGATGCCTGGGGGTCCCTACTCAGGAGGAAAGGTCAAGGGAGACTCACAATGGGGACATGTGCAGGATCAGGTCACCCTCCCACGTTCCTTTGTGACAGCTGCGGAGGGCAGGGATGGAGTCTGATCATCTCAGGAAGCCCCAGCAGCCAACCAAGAGAGGAAAGCTGACATGGGAAGGGGATTAGGGATTAGGGATTAGGGATTAGGACATGGTCCTTCCCTTGTGCGGATGACAGGGGAGGTCAGCCCCAGACTGCTGCAAGCTTCCGGTGATCTCTCCTACATCATCACCCCCGTTTACAGGTGAAGAAACTAAGGCACAGAAAGGGAGGCGTTTCCCGAGGTTACAGAGCCAGCCCGCCTGCAGCAAGTTCCGTCTAGAATCCTAGGCGCCTCTTCCTCCTGGTGTTTGGATGAATTAACTGGACCCTGGCCTCTGTCTGGGTGAGCCTTGGGCCTCTGGCACTTACCGTTGCTCCCTTCGGGCCTGGGATCCCCTGGAGTCCTCGAACACCTTGGCTGCCCTGCAAAGGGAATAGAGATCAGGTCACCTTTGGGATGTTGAACTCCATGTAGAGAGGGGAACAGCTAAGAGCAGTGGCCCCTGGGCAGGGGCTGGAGGAGAGCGGCTCAGGTGCCCTTTCTGCCTGGGAATCAGTGGGGGGCAGGGGGGGTCAGCGCCCAGCAGCCAGGCCGGGCTGGGCAGCAGCAGGTGTGGGAGCCAGCACCCACAAGGCCGAGGCCCTGAGCTCCACGCAGCTAAAGAAACACGACGACTGAATGCAATGGGTGGACTTTTTTGGGGTCTTCAACAAGAGCTATGACAAGACATTTTTGAGATAATTAGGAAAAATGGAATAGAGACTGGGTATTAGATGATATTACAGAATAGTTTATTTTGTTAGTTGTGATAAACATGTGATTATGTGAGGAAAAGTCCTTATTTTTTAGAGATATGTACAGAAGTATTTGGGGCGAGATGACGTGATACTAAGGATTTGTTTGAGACAGAGCAAAGCAATAATGGAGGAAGGGAAGTTAGAGGAAATGAGGGTGGTGAAATGTTAGTGACCGTGGGACACGTGAGACGGGAAAACGGGGAACTCATCACATCATTCCCTCTGCTTTTCTACATATTTTTAAACTGGCATTAAAAAACTAAATAATAATAATAATAAAAAGTTCATTGTACTTTCTTCTCAGTTTTCCTATGAACCTAAAACTGCTCAATCTCAAGTGTTCTTACCATAATAAAAATAAATAAATAAAACGACTCCCCAAAAGTCTATTAATCAAAAAAAAAAAAAGAGTTAAGAGAACTGGGATCCCGACCAAATCCCATTAGCCGCATGGCTGATTTGCTGGAATTTCATTGTCTGGCCCCAGTGACCCTGGGACTGGATCCAGGGCTTCTAAAGTCCGAATTTGGGCTGACTGGGCCCAAATTCCCAGCAGTCCTCCCCCCGGCAGTCACACACATGCAGAGAAGTGAGCGCACACGCACACTTGTGCACACACATGCACACACACGGGCCTTGGGTGGGGCTGAGTCCAGCCCAGTACTCCCCAGGGGCCCTGACCGGACAAGGGGTGCTGAGGACTCACCACGTCACCCTTCTCCCCGGCTCGGCCTGGTGGCCCCCTCGGACCTTCCTCACCCTGCCGAGAAAGACAAACAGGAACCCAGGTCATGTGCGCTGAGGGGGACCCCCAGCCTGGGGGGCAGCGGGACGGGGGTGAGGGGCAGGCTTACCGGTGGCCCAGCAGCTCCGATGGAGCCCACCATGCCTTTATATCCACGAGGACCCTGGGGAGAGGAAGGGTTGTGGGTCAGTCCTGGCAAGACCCCAGAGGCCACAGGGCTGGTCCTGGCAGCTCTTTCAGGACACTCCTAGACTCACTTACCATCTCTCCCTTGGGTCCCGCCATGCCTGGGTAGCCCCTGATGCCCTGGGGACCCTGTCAAGACAGAAAAATGACAGCAATAGCAATTGCAAGTCCCACTCATGATACCTCCCTCCTCTGACCCCACCCCCAGACTTCACAATGCCCTTTGAGGTTAGCAGCACAGGGCCCAGTGCTCATGGATGGGACATCAAGACTCAGAGTTGGGGGGACTCACCAGGGTCACTCAAAGGGAGGGGAAGAGCCTGGAGCCTCAGCCGGGCCTTAGGGATGACAGTTGCCCTCAACTTCCCTCTTCCCACCCAGAGAGGCTCCCGGCTAGACACAGGTGTCTCTTTTACAAGCCAGGCCTGAGCACGGGAATGACTCCATTAAGGGATGCTTGGATAGGGGAGGGGAGGCCACAGAGGGGAGGTGTTCCTTACCGGTGGTCCAGGGATACCTTGCTCTCCAGAGGCACCCACATCTCCCTTGGGACCCTAAGGGGCAGGGATGAGCTATGAGACAGGCAGGCAGATGGAAATTCAAATATACAGACAAGCAGAGATGTCTCCCCATTCCCCAGCAAAAGCCAGACAGGAAGGACCCTGGAAACCACACAGTCCCATGTTACAGATGGGGAAATTGAGGCCAAGCAAGAATTGCCAGAGACACATTGACCTGGAACATAGACCTCCAGCCCCCCAGTTCACAGCTCTGTCCCCAGAACCCACAGGGGAAGGGGCAGGGATGAAGAAGGGGACAGGCCCCTGCAGGACCCTCTCCACATATCCCCATGCCACGGCCCTCAGCCCTCACACTCACCGGCTTCCCCTGGCGGCCAGGATCACCCAGAGCCCCGCGTTTGCCCGGATGTCCCTGCAGGGAAGGAGAGCTCAGTGTGAGGTTCCCTTCTGATCACCAGCTCCAACCTCCCAAGACTCGGGCCAGGGGCTCTCACCTTCACTCCCTGCAGCCCTGGGGGCCCTTTCACACCCGCTGGACAGTTGGTTGGACACTGAAAAGAAAATCCCACAGGGCCTTGTGGTCCCTGGTCTGGTGCAGGCCAGCTGGGCAACGCGTCCCCATCTCTCACTGACCCTGTCTCCAGGGCTGCCCCTGCCTGCATCGGCCCCGCCCAGGCCCCCGCTCTCACCAGGAAGTCCGCGCTGCCTTCCAGGCCCTGGATGGTTCCTGGGCGACCCTGAGAGGAGATGTGTGAAGGTAGAGCCTGATCCCACCCTTCCCACCCCAGGCTTCCTCAAAGACCCTTCTCCTTCCCCTGCACATTGCTACGTGTGAGGGCTAAGGATGCTTACCGGTTTCCCAGGGGGTCCTGGGGGCCCCGCTGGTCCCTCTGGTCCAGGATCCCCCTAGAAGCAAGAGGGGCCAAAATCATACCCCTGTTCAGCCCTTTCCAGGTTACCCTGCCCCCTCTGGTTCCTGCCGCTGCCTTATCCACCCTGCCCTCCAGGTCACCTTCTGAGACCTGCCTTCTTGGAGGGACCAAGGCCTGCTAGGCAGGGAATGGGGCCAGCCCTTGGCCTCCCAGAAAGACCTACTGCAGGGTGGGCTCAGCAGGAGGGGTTTCTGCCCCAGACCTGGTGGAGCTTCCTGGTGGCCAGAAGCAGACCCAGGAACTCCGTGGGACACCACCCCTGCTTGCCAGTGTAGAGACAGAGGGCAGGAGGCCAAGTGAGTGGAGGGGGTCTGGGGCTCACCTTGGGGCCTGTGATTCCAATCTCACCAGGAAGGCCAACAGGTCCAGGTGGTCCCTGGGGAGCAGAGAGTTGATGGCCAGTGTGCCTCCAAGGGTCAGCCTGCCCTGAACATGAAGGTAGAGGCAGGCACCCAAAGCCTCTTTCTCCACTTTTGCTTTCTGACCAACCCCAGAGAGACTGACAGATTGGGGCTTTAAGGACCAGAGAACCCCAGAGTAAGTGGATAGCCCGGAGTGGGCTGCCCATGGCCTCTGGCAGTCCTGATGCTATCCTGACACTATCATAGCATGCTGGCACCTCCCCACGATGGCCATTCCCTGGAAGCCCTTCTGTTGTCCCCCACTCCCTGGGTGTTCCGTGCACCCTGTCCCATCCCCAAAGACTTACAGGAGGTCCAGCAAAACCAGGGCCCTGGAACAGAAGGAAAGGAAATTGGGTTCATGGCTCCCTCTACAGGTCCCCCTGCCCCATGAAGGGTCCCTGGAAGCCCTTGCAGGCTGTACTCACCGGCAGGCCAGGAGGACCAGGGAGCCCAGGTTGGCCCTGCAACAGCAATGGGAGAGGTTCAGAGCCTGGGGTCTCCTGGGTCCCTGCTTCTCTCTACTATAGCTCCTCCCAAACTCTGGCCCTAGGTTGCCTGTGCTGAGGCCCCAGCAGGCCACCTACCTTGGTTCCAGGGGTCCCGATGGCACCAGGCTCCCCCTTGGCTCCAGTTAAACCCTGAGGAAAGATGAGAAGGTAGGATCAATGAGAAGCAACCTGCTCCCTGATCCATGGGGTGGGGCAGGGCCACGGGTCTCCTGGGTGGGCCCAGGTAGGGACTTTCACACCTTCTTTTCCCTTTCCCCAGTTCCCATAGTAACCCTGGGAGGCAGGCAGGACAATTGTCCTCTTTGGAAGATGAGAAACTAGGGAACAAAGATTTGTCAGCCTGGGCTTCACTCATCCCAGTTTAGGAGTCTGGAAGACCCAGACATAGGTCTAGATTGGTCATTTGATTGCTGTCTGGCAATTTTTCTGAGCCTTAGTTTTCTCATCTGCAAAATGGGTTAATTGTGCTTACATCTCTGAGTGGGTGTGAGAACTGATGTGCTAGCAGAGGGCAGTGTGCTTGGTAATCTTTGCAGGGTGTGGATGAGTTTAGAGGGAGCCTATTAGCTGGTCCCAGCCCTGGTAGGACCAGCAGGGCAGAGGCACCTCATGGGGGGCTCTCCTTCCTCCCATCTTTCAGTGATTGACCCAAGGGTATCCCTCACCAGGTGACTGTCCTCATGGCCCTGGGGCTGGCTGTGTCCAGGAGCCTGTGACCTTGGGGGCCCCTGGGAGCTGGGTGGTATCAGCCAAATGATATTCCTCTCCTGAGTTGTGCCTGGGGCTGTGGGCAAGGAGTTGGTGGGGAAGAGGGCGGGGGAAAGACAGGGCACACAGGGACAGCCCAGCATATTCAGCGAGACTAAGTCATGGCTGCTATGGACAAGCAGGGGGATGCCGCACCCCACAGAAAGCAGAGCCCCTCTCTGGACCCCAGTTGCCTCTGATTCGGTGCTCCCAGGGTGGGTGTGAGGTTCCAGTGAGATCACAAGTCATATGAAGGCGAGGGGGCTCACAGCTGGACAGTCTCCACCCCTCTGCCCATCTCTGAACAGATCAGCGAAGTCACCAGGGCCGGTCAATGGGTGGCAGCCCCAACCTGCCCTGCCCAGCACCCAGGTACTCACATCAATCCCGGGCTTCCCGTCCGGCCCATCTGGCCCTGCTTTGCCAGGCTCTCCCTTGACACCCTTGAAAACAGGTGGAGCAAATATTAGCCAGAGGAGGGCAAGAACTGGAAGGGTCAAAGGTCAAAGAGGCAAAAAGCACTCACCGGAGGGCCAGCTTTTCCTGGGGGCCCCTTGTCACCCTGAAAGATACGAGCTGGTGAGATGGCACCCTGTGGCTCATGCTACCCCACATGGGGACACACAGGCTCTGGCTGGCCAGCCCCAGATGCTCCTGTCCTCATTCCCCTCTCTTCTGTCCTGGGTCCCTTCTGTCTTGCACTCCTTAGGAAAATAGCCCCCTTCCCTCAAAAAAAAAAAAAAAATCGTAGGTGCTTTGAAACCAAACCCAGCCAGGATGGAGAGGGCGATGTCAACATGCAAGTGGGTTTTGTAGGTGTCGATGTTGCTGAGGTGCCCGTTGGGAGACTGCACATAGGGTGCCGGCTCCAGGTTACCTCAGAGGCTGATGCCTCTTGGGTCGGGTACTTGTGGGAAGAAGGCGGGGGCTTTTAGAGACACAGAAGGGGAGGTGAGCGAGTCGAGCGGCAGCTCTACTCTGGATTGTGGGTCAGGAAAACAACAGGTTGGGGTAGGGGCAGGGACCAAGGGGGCCTGGAAAGGGGGGATGCAAAATGTTCCCAAGGAGGGAAGGACCTTTTTCCCCAGTGACAAAGGACCCTTGGTGGAGGACAGGCAGGGCTGGTGGAGTAAAATTCAGCCCCACAGAGGCCTCCAGGCATTTCAGAGCCTGCAGCAGCCAGAGCCTGGCGAGCCCCCAGCATCCTGTGTTGGGGGCTGGGGACACCAGGTTGAATAGAAGTCTGTCCAGATGGGTAAACATCAAGCTGACCTCCTGGGGGAGCCTCCAGAATGAGGCCTTTAACCCTCACCGTGCTCGGGGGAGCAGGGAACGAGCCCGACTGATTCTAAATCGGGGTGAAAAAAGCCAAGGGAAGAGAGAGGAGTCTGGCCCCAGCTGGTCAGCGGTCTGGCCCAGGCTCCCGAGCTACCCTGAAGAAGCGTGCAGACGTGCCAGGTGCAGGGCGAGGGGTTAAGGCCTCCCCTACCTCAAAAGGGAGGGGACAGGAGAGGAGGGGGATAAGGACTCGCTGTGAGCTGTAGCCGGCAGACTACACAGCAGCTCCTTGTTGGCGGGCGGCTATAACCGGCTCTGCATTTCAGGGCTGGTTTGAGGTTTTTGCAGAACAAACGAGCTCCTTGTGGGGCCGGTCGGCGCCGCCTACTGGCGTCAGGGGGGCACTACACCTCCAGGCACCGCCCCCAATCCCTCAGCTCACAAAGTTCCCCTTTGTCCTCCGCCTCCCTCCCGCCTCCCGCCCAGGTTAGGGACTCACGTCGATGCCGTCGGATCCAGGCACTCCCGGCGGCCCCGGGGGGCCTGGGGGGCCCCGTTCTCCAGGGGGACCTCTCTGAAAACACACACGGGGGTGCAACCCTCAGACAGTGTAGGGGGCTGGGCGGGCCAGAGCCCGCAGGCAACGCCGGGAGCGGGGTCCTAGAGGTGCACCTCCGCCGGGAAAGGAAGCTCCGCAGGGAGCCGCGGACTCCTGTGCTGTGCGCCATTGCATACATTATCTGAACACTCAGAACCGGGAGGCGGGTGCTGTTTCGGGCCCATGTTGGCAGTTGAAGAAACAGGCTCAGAAAAGATTAAGGGTCCGGGGTCACTGAGAGTGAGTGGCGCAGCCAGGATTCTGTCTTGCGTCTGCACCGCGTTGCCCCTGTGCCGTCGTGGCGGAGAATAGATGGAGATGGGGACCGACGGCTCAGATAAATTACAGACGGTACGCAAGGAGCCTGGCAGACGGTTGGCCCTCCATTAGTGGTAGCTCGTTTTATTATTTTTTGATGAACGTCACGTATAGACGGTGAGTAGACACCTCCTTCTCTGCCTCGGGTGAAGATAAAACCCGACGGGAAAGTGGGGGCGGCGCAGAGCGCGTAGGGCGGGGAAGCTGGGAGCACCCCTCCCCCAGCACCGCTGCTCTGTCCTCCCTGGGCTGTCCCTTTTACCGGTCGGCCCGGACCCAGGCAGGGGTCCCGTGCACGCCGGTGCCCGCGCCCTCCCCGGCGGGGAAGTGCTAGGCTGATGCCCGGCAGGCGAGCTGCGAGCCGCACCGGGGGCTGGACGGCGCCCGGCCCCCTGCCCCGACCCCCTCCGGGGGCGCGTGGGGTGCCCGCAGCCGCCAGCGGCCCTCGGAAGTGAGACGTGGGCCGGCGAGCCGGGCCGGGAGGCCGCTGCGGGGCGAGAGCGGAGTCTGGCTGGAACCGGCGCCCCCCGGGAGGCGGCGGGGGCGGAGGCTTCGCGGCAGTGAATGGGCACCATTGTCTTCCCCGCCACCTGGGCTGCCCCGGCTGCCAGGACCGAGCGCCAGCTCCTGCCCCGCTGCCTGTCCCGCGCAGGGCCGAGCATCTCGGGACAGGGTCCCCCTGGCTCCCCGGCCCATCCATCGCCTTTCGCGGTGCCGCAATGTGCACCCTGTATGCGCCCACCCAGGGACCCGCGCCGCGGGACCGTCCTTAGCTGCCCCCTCGGGCGAGGGCGCGTCGGGATAGGTGGGGGGACAGGCAGAGCCCTGCACCAGACTCCTGAACCCCGGACCCAGACCCCGCACCCTGACCCTGGCGCCAGAGTGGCCGCAGGACTTACCATCTGCGCCAGGGCGAGCGCGAGCACCTGGAGGAGAACGAGGAGGCTGCGGGGGGCGGCCGCAGCGGCCATGGCGGGCGGCGAGTTCGCGAGGACGGTGCCGGGGCCACCACGCACCGACGGCGGAGGCTCCTGGCGCGGGCTGCGCTCTGCCGACTGGCTCAGCCTCCCGAATATGCGGCGGGGCGGGGCGCGGGCGGCGGGGTCTGTCACCTGAGAGGGCCGCCGGGTGGGGACGGGGCAGGCCGGCGCCCTTCCTCCAGCTCCGCCCCGCTCGGTCGGGCCGCCAGCGCCCACCCTCTGTCCTCGCCCGGCTTCCCGGAGGCCCCTGCTGGGTAATCTGGGGGGCGACAGGGGTGCGGGACCGAGACGGTGGTCCCCTCGGGCCTGACCGCCGGGGCCCAGCACCTTCCCCTGACCCGCAGCCCGCGCCCCGTGGCTTACCCTACGTCCCCTGCCACCTCTGCCGGGCTCAGTCCTCCTTCCTGCAGAGCCCGGGCCTCAGGCTCCGCAGACCTTGCCGCAGGCTCTGCCCACGCTGCACCCACCTTCTCCTCTCCCCGCCCCCACCCCGGCTCCTTCCTCTCCTCGTACAATCAGGTCTTTTCCGTATTTAAAAAATACCAAAATCCTTCCTGGATAAGTCACCTCCAGAATACCCACCCCATCTGCCTCTCCCTCTTGCTTCGCTGCCAACTCTTCGGTGGAGTCGTCTGCATCCCCCTCCCCGCTAACTTCCTCACCTCCCGGCTTCTGTTTTATGTCATTCACGTCTTCAGATCAGGTTCTGAAGCCTCACAACACTCCCTGCTTCTGTCCCGACCGGGAGCTCGGTCTCCTGGAGGTCGCCATTGAAGCCCAATCTTTCTTCAGTCCTCCAGGCGGCAGGCTGTTGGCACCTCCACCTGCCCCTGGCCATTCTGTCCTTGAAGTCTTTCCTATCCAAGCTGCCATCGTCCAGCTCCCGGTCTTCCTCTATTGCCTTTTCTTCTTCTCTCCTCAGTGCAGCTCCCTTAAGCACTGATGACTCTAGGATTGGGCCTTCTCATTCAATTTCTCCAGTGACCTCCATGATCATGGAAACAACCACCACTTTATTTACCAGTTTCCAAAAACCGTTGTCCCAAAGAGCCTGTCTCCAGAGCTCCTTCCCTTCCCTTTCATTCCCTTAAGCAATATTGGCAAAATGCTTTGGAATCTGACTCTCACAGCTGCAGATATACCACAGGCACCTAAAACTACATGAAGTCTCAGTTTCCTCATCTGTAAAATAGAGATAATAATGGTCCCCATTTTAAAGGGTTTTTGTGAAGATGGAATGGGGTGATGCTTAACCTGGCACCAGCACTTGGTAGGTGCTTGACACGTTCTAGCTTTCATTGTGATTTATAGAGGACCGCCTATTTACTAGGTCTGCACTCAACGTGGGGAAGCTGTCCACAAGCAGACCAATAAAATGGTCAAGGAGAACATTTGCTGTTACCGAGTGAGCTGCAACTCCCCTGAGCAGGTTAGCAAAGGGCCTTGGACTTTGAAAGGTTGTCCTGGAGCTGAATTTGGGAGAAAGGGCTTGAGAGAATTTAATTGCTCTGCCTAACAGAATGAGGAAGAATTCAGAATTTGTTGGAAGTAAGATGAGAGGAGGAGGAGGTAGGAGAGGGATGGTGGGCATTGCTTGGAGTTGGGGCGGAGGTAAAAATGTGTAAAGGATCTTAAAGAATTGAGGTGTTCAAATTCAATTTTAAGTTGTTGGTTTTATGTCATTCACCTCTTCATCTCTTGTTGGCTAAACGCACAAAGGCCTTGTGTAAGTTGTCTTTTTGGGGGAGTGGAAATTGTGGAAAAGGGATGAGCTTCACATTTGGACAGCACACATCAGTGTATTAATTATCTATTGCAGCATAACAAGTCTCCCCAAAATTTAGTGGTTTAACACAACAATTTCTTGGATCAAGAATGCAGGAGTGGCTCTGCTGGTTGGTTCTGGCCTGGGGTGTTACAAGGTTGCAGTCCGATGGTGGCTAGGGCTGGAGTCATCTAGAAGGCTTCTTAGCCCACGTCTGACGTCTGTACTGGGAAGCCTTCAACAGCTGAGGCTGGAACAGCTGGAGTTTATTGGACAGCTTTCTGTTTTATCCCTTTGTGGGCTTTCCAGGGGATCTCTCCAGCATGGTGGCTTCAAGGTAGCTGAACATCCTCCATAGCTCAGAGGGAGGAGAACAACAGCCTGAAGAGAATCGTCTCTTAGGACCTACTCTTGGAAGTCATTCAGTTCCACTTTCACCACATTCTTTTGGTTGAGGCAATTACAAAGGTCCGCCCAGGTTCAAGGGGAGGGAACAGAGACCTCACCTCTTGATCGATGTGTCAATGTCACATTTCAAGAAGAGCATGGGGGATGGAATAGATATTGATGCAACCATCTTTGCAAAATACATTCTACCACACTTGGGCTTATAAACTGAACCAATTCAGGGATAGCTGAAGCTCAAAGCTGAAGCCAACCAAGAGAAATCTTATGGAAGGCTTTGGACCACAAGACATGGGCTGGAGGTTCCAGCCTATCACATATGGCTCTTAAGGATCAGAGAGATACTGAGTAAGTGGAGAGTCATACCTCTACATTCCTGGATAAGAAAATTCAATGTTACAAAGACATCAAATTAATCTATAAACTTCATGCAATCCCCAACAAAATCAGTGAGTAGCTAGGACTAAGTAGCTAGGGCAACACCATGCCTGGCTAATTTAAAAACCTTCATAGAGATGGAGTTCTCACTATGTTGCTCAGTCTCTCAGTCTGATCTTGAACTCCTGGCCTCAAGCAATCGATTCTCCTGCCTAGGCCTCCCAAAGTGCTGGGATTACAGGTGTGAGCCACCACCCCAGCCAAAGAATTTCCCTGAAGAAGTTCTGCCTGTGCATAGCAGCTTTCTTTTTCTTTCTTTCTTTCTTTTTTTTTTTTTTGCTCCACCGCCCTCCCCATAGCTTTCTATCCATTCCTTCTTCTTCTCTCTTTCTTGGACTCCAATTTCATGTGTTAGACCAGTGTTCCCCAAATTTTTTGGCACCAGGGACCAGTTTCTTGGAAGATAATCTTTCCACAGATGGTGGTGGGTGGCGGAGCTCAGGTGGTGATGCCAGCAATGGGGAGCGGCTGTAAGTACAGACGAAGATTCGCTCACTCTCCCCACCCGTCACTCACCTCCTGCTGTGCAGCCTAATAAGCCACCAACTGATACTGGTCTGTTGGAGGACTGGGGACTGCAGTGTTAGACTACTTGCTAGTGTTGCACAAGTCATTAAGGCTCTCTATTTTTATTAAACATTTTATCTCAGGATAATCGTGGATTCACATGCTTTTGTAAGAAATAATACAAAGAGATTCTGTGTATTCTTTACCCAGTTTCCCCCAATGGTAACATCTTGCAAAACTATATTATAACATTACAACCAAGACTTGATACTGATACTGTCAAGACAGAGAACATTTTCATCACCGCAAGGATCCCTCGTGTTGCCCTTTTATAGCTAAACCACTTACCTCCACCCCCAAGCCTTCCTTAACCTCTTACAACCACTAATCTGTTCTCTGTTTCTATAATTTTGTCATTTAAAATGTGATATAAATGGAATAGTAAAGTACGTAACATTTTGGGGTTAGCTTTTTTCACCCAGCATCATGCTCTGGATGTTTACCCATGTTGTTGCACTTCTCTGCCGCTCACTCCTTTCATTGCCCAGTAGAATGCCATGGCATGGAGGCACCATGGCTTGTTGAACCAGTCACCCACTGAAGCACATCTGGATTGTTTCCTGTTTTTGATTATTTTTGAATAAAGCTGCTATGAACATTTTGTATAAGTTTTTGGGTGAACATAAGCTTTCGGTTCTCTGGATAAATGCCCTGGAGTACAATTGCTGACATATGGTAGAGACTTTTTATTTTTTTTTAAAGAAGCTTCCAAACAATTTTCCAAGTGGCTACACCATACCATTTTACATTCCTAGTAGCAATGTATGTGTGATCCAGTCAAGTAGACTGATTCATCTCTCTTTATTCTTCTTTTTAAAAATTGTTTTAGTTACTCTCTTTTCTCTGCCTTTGCAGGCAAATTTTAGAATAATCTTGTCTATATTTTTAAAAATTCTTGCTAGTATTTTGATAGGAATTGTGTTAAACCTGCATATCAACATCTTTACTATGTTGTCATCTTCCAATCTATGATATGTCTCCCCATTTAGTTAGTTCTTCTTTGATTTCTTTCATAAGCATATTATAATTCCTAGCAAACAAGTCCTGTATAGGTTTTGTTAGTTTTATCCCTAAATATATAATTTCTAAGTGATTGTAAATGATACCATATTTTTAATTTCTCTATTTATGTGTTCACTGTTAGTATATCTAAATATAATTGATTTTGGTATATTTATCTTGTATCCTAATACTCTGTTGAATCACTTATTAATTATAGAGAGTCTTTTTTAAAGTAGTTTTTTTGAATGTTCTATGTAGACAATCATCTGCAAATAGGGACAGTTTTAGTTTTTCTTTTCCTATCCATATATACTTTCATTTTCATTTCTTGTCTTATTGCACTGGCTAGCACTTGCAGCACTCTGTTGAAGAATAGTGGTGAGAGGAGGCATACTTTACCTCCTACCTGATCTTAGGGGGTGTGATGGTCAATTTTATGTATCATCCTGGCTAGGCTAGAATCCTCGGTTATTCAATCAAATACCAATCTAGGTGTTGATGTGAAGGTGTTTTGCAAATGTGAATTTCTTTAAGTAAAGGAAATTACCCTAGATAATCTGGATGGGCCCCATTCAATCAGTTGAAAGGCAGGACTGAGAGTTCCCTGAAGAACAAGAAACTCTGCCTGTTCATAGCAGCTTCAGCTCATGAAAGCTCCAGTGCATGTTTCCTGATGGTCTGCCCTACACGTTTTAGACTTGCCTTGCCAGCCCCACAACTGCATAAGCCAATTTCTTGCACTAAATCACTCAGTATGGTATATATTTCCTACTGATTCTGTTTCTTTGGTTGAACCCTGACTAATACAGAGGGGAAATTATTTGCTTTTTCATAATTAAGTATAAGTTAGCTGTACTTCTTTTGTAAAT